GGCTTCGCTCGGGGCGGTTGTGTTTTCCTTTGCCTAGGAAAATGCTAAGAACGAGGAGATCCTGCTCTCGCTGGAGCACGTTCGTCCCGGCAACGGGTACAAGCCCAATTTCATAATGTTCGAGAAGTGTGAGGTGAACGGGAAGAACGCGCACCCCCTCTTCACCTTCCTGAAAGAGGCGCTGCCCTTCCCGCACGACGACCCCTCCTCACTGATGACCAACCCCCAGTACATCATCTGGTCCCCGGTCAGCCGCAACGACATCTCCTGGAACTTCGAGAAGTTCCTCATCGGCCCTGACGGCGTGCCCTTCAAGCGCTACAGTCGGCACTTCGAAACCATCAAGATCCAGGATGATATTGAGTTGCTTCTGCAGAAGGTTCCCAAATAAAGCAGAGCACCGCGGTGTTTGCCACCTGGCGCCCTCGCTTCCTGCTCAGCCTGCTGTGCTCCTGCCTGGTTTTCTCACAGGGGGCTGCTACTTTGGCAGAAATCCCAGTGTCTCGTGCAGGTTTTGCTTGTGATGGTGCATCTTCCAAATTCTTGAAGTGTACTTGATGTTTTCAAAAGTTGCATGGGAATGTTTGGGAGACTATGCAGAGGAAAGCAGCCGTAAGTCTCAATAGCTTACTGTGATTCTCTGAATAAAAATATAACACATACTTTCTGAGTCTGGCTTGCTATATCGGGGTGAGTTGGGTGAAACACGTCAGCCACGTTACCTGTTAATCAGTTCAGGAGCATGCCCAGGGAGGCTGACTCAAACCACTACAGCATGACAGTGCAGGCGGGCTGAAACTCAAATGCAAACCCAGGGAAGCACGATGGGCAAAGAGCACTTGTGAGCTCTGCAAACCGTGAACCTGCCAGCTCTTACCCTGCGCTCAATGAGCTTGGCAGAGAGGGAGGGCAGCACAGAACAGAAATACCTCACCTAACTGCTTACTGGATCTCACTCGAGGCTTGCCTGTGGAGGTAAGACGCGGTGGCACGCAGCCAGGGTGTGATTTTACACTGGCTCACAAACTCCCAGCTTGGCTACCAGCAACAAGACAGGACAGGTTAACAACCATTCAGGCAGGCAGATGAGGATTCTGCAGCCTGGGCTGCTGCGCTGGCCTTGGGGAAGAAAAGCCCAAGGCCAAGGCCAATCTCGTTATCTGGCAGGTGCCCAGAGGCGACCCAGAGCTGCTGCCCCCCTGCTGGCTCAGCTGTCTCCTGGCTCTATCCCATTTTGTGTCAGTGGTAGCCCAACACAGATCTCTACATACTTGCCTAAGTCCTACATGAACCCTGTATCAACTTCATGCATAACCAATGCCTTGCAACACAGGGGATCACACAAAGAACCAGTTCTCTCATGCTCCTAGTGCAGAATACCAGCCTATTCAACTCCTTCTCCCACGGGAACTGTGCCCTGCCTCAGGGTGTCCGTTGGCCTTTGGGCAGAGGAATTGCACGTGACACTCCCAAGTGCTAGTGTGCCACGGTTCAGGCAGTATTTTCTTCTTTCTACTCCTTCCCTAAGACTTTTTTGACTCCTGCCAACCATGGAGCTGACAGGTATTCCGTGGAGGTGTTACAATAATCCTGACACGGTCCTGCGCAGTGATCCTGGGTTACAGCCTACTGCTGAACAGCTGGATTGGGATTGGTTTCCCTTGGGAAACTGAGAGCCTGTGCCAGATTTCATCTGCCATCTCACTGCCCAGAGGCTCAGGTCCCTCTGCAGGTAAGTTTTCACTCCTTAAGTCGCTCTGTGAACACATTTTCATTACCTGCCTCTCCTCATGAGGCTTTGTAGCACTGAGTATAAACTTGGTCCTGGGCTAACACTGACCAGAAACTCGAGCTTTCAAAAGGAAGGCAAAACACTTTCAAGCATGAGTGCACTGTTTTCATATTTAAAAACACTTGGGATTTGAGTTTTTGGGTTTTTTTTGTTCATAGCTTCTCACATCACCAATTTGCTGGTTGCTTTTTCAAGACCGCCTCTGGGCTGACTTGAGACACTGGGGCAAAACCCACGGCTGGCTCCACCCTGCTCGCTACTGCCCTTGAGTCATCGAGCTTCAAACTCAAGATTGCACAATCCTCAACGGGTTATTTCTTAACTTCCAGTACAGCTTCATAGAAAAACAAGATGTTTTCAGTAGCTATTTCAGCTTGGAAGCAGAAGCTGCTTGGTTTGGAGGATTATTTTTTCAGTTAAATGTACTTCCCTCATTAATGCAGGATGTTGAAATATGTGGGGAGTACAGAGGATCATGGGCAACAGGAACTCACTGCAGTGGAAAATCATTCTCGCAGTGAGCTGTGGCACTTCCTCAGTCCTGACTCACTGAACTCCAGCCGTCTGAGCGGGACCTCCTTCACTCTGCCTGTTCCTTATCAGTCCGCGGCCCCTGCTGAGCCCCACCTCAACACGCTGCTCTTCCAACAGCAGCCCTGCCAAAAAGGGTCTCTTGCTGAGCCTGCCGGTCAGAAAGGCATCTTACATTGTGCTTGTTCAGTGCTAATGGCCAAGGGATTTATTTACCTTCCGGCTGCTGGGGCTGTGTTAGCAGAAAAACAAAGCAGCAGCTCCAAGAACAGATACAGCCGCGCCAGCAGAAGTACAGTGATGCGATTCCAGGATGAAAATTAGCCATGCCAGCAGGAAAATTAATGATCCCGCTGCAAGCACACCAGCAGGAACTCTGCAGCATAGATAGAAGCCTCTTAGCCTCGTTATTCCCTGTCTCATTTCAAGCATTCCCCAGAGTAGCTGGCTTCTGGAGTGAGGCAGGGTGCAGTGCAAAGAGCAGCCTGTGGGCTGGAAGCCTTGAAATAACCCACAGAAGAGCACAGCCCCCACAGGGGCTCTTGCACCCGAACATTATTTGGTGTTGGGTGACGACGTTTCACTCCAGGTAGTAGCTCTGTGCTGACGGACACCTGGAGAATCCCAAGTGACTCCTCGTGGATTATAAAATGTCCCAGTTCTGTATCTGTAATTCTAGAGAGAAACAGGCTAACTCAGTAGGAAACGCTAAAATAAATACTACTACTTTAGCACACTTGGATGCTTCTGTGGCTTGAGGACATTGTGCTTTCAATGTCTCACGTCTGTCACATCTACGCCCCTATGCTCTTTTGATTTTTTTTCTATTTGAACATTTCAATTGCAGACAGCTAATCCCTGTGTTAGAGTTCACCCTGCTTGTCCATTCTTCTGCACATCAGAGTCCCATATATCCCCCCTTTCTAGAGAATGTTTGCCCCTGTGGCTCCCTACTTCCAATCTTTAAACAAGTTCAGATACTTGAAGCTGTCAGGAGTGTTAACCAGCTGCAAGGGAAATGATCCTTCCTGTCCTTACCTCCCTCTCCTGGGTTCCCTGGTATTCTGCCCACCAAACCTGAACACATCTCCTGAAATCATGGCTAATGAGATGTGGCGTTCAGACGTGTCTGCTCAACAGAGACACTGCCAAGTGGAGCCCAAGACCTTTCTTACTCAGCCTGTTAAATGTCCTTTCAGCTGTTTACAATCCTTTTCTCCTCCTGCTGACCCTTGTTGCACCTGCTAGCTTTCAAGATAGCTTGTACACACTGGCTTTGATCATTGCCATCATAAAGCAAGCAGGAAACATCAGCCTCCAGCTGGGTGGCACTTGAAAGGGTGTTGATCTGGTGTCACTCTTGTGGAGAGCAGCCATCGGTTCAGCTGGAGACAGGGGCAGGAAGCCGAATGGCTGCAAGTAAGGCACTTGAAGAGACAGGAGAACACGGACGCCTCTATGTGTGGTGAAACTGTAACCTAGTACTGAATCAGTGAGCTGCTAATTTTTTACTGCACTTTCTACTAGGATTTGGTAATACATTAGAAGAGTGAGGTCAGCCACACAAGCATTATCTCAGAACAGCTGACTCATTTTAAAAACACACCCAGTATTGCTATAACAGGGTGTATGAGCTTCTCAAAGCCCAAAGGGGCCCCGACCTTTGAGAAAAACAGTAGTAAGTAACAGGACACAACTCTAGCTGGAAGCACTGAACTGTCTTCTTTCTCAGTATTAACTGGATGGACTTGCCCTGCTGTCAGAAATATTAAAAGCTTTTAGCATTTTACCCTGGGCAGCTGCAGCACTGCCAGGCCTGGCTGGCAGCAGTCAGAGCCGAGCTGCCCAGCACGCTGCCAGACACTGGCTGCCAGGAGAGTGCTTCCTTGCACACTCGTGGCCCCAGAACATCACTCTCTGCTTTTCTTTCTGTGAGGTAAATTGATTTATTCGGTATATCAGTTTAAAGCGGGTTTTTAAAGTCTCTGAATTACCATCTGAATCCTTCCCAGTTTTCCCACTTTTGAAGCGTGGGCTCCCTAAACAGCACACGGTTCTTCACCAGGATATGCTACTAAAGAGACGAATGCCTAAATCCCTTCTTGAGAAGCTCTTTCCAGAAGCACTTTCAGACTCCTGTGCGCTCCCCAGCTGGTGACTCAGACCCGTTCTGCCGTTTATTCCCGTAACAATCTGCAGCCTCCCTCCCCAGCCAACACCCG